CTTAGATTTTAGAATAGTCTTTTAATTCCTTTAAATTTGGTTGTTTTCTTTTTGTTAGTTTTCTCTGTATTTACCCCATTTTCGTTTTTACACTTACCCAATTTTTTTTTCTTTTTTACTTCTTTACGAGAAAGTATTATCAGATTGGTAACACTCTATTGTAGAGTAGTGATTTTGACAAGGATGGTGAAACCATCTGTTGATACCGGGGCTCAAATCTTCAGAAAGTTGAGGATCATGGTGGAGAAAAACTTTCACTTAGGCGGGTCGCTCCTGGGTCATACTCTAGCACTTAATTCTGGTGAGCTAGGATTAGGTTGCGATAACGAGATAGATCAAGAGATTCTTTATTTGGACAGGCATTAAATAGTTTATAGAGGATAATGTAGATTTAGCTAAATTGAATATCCATTTGTATTCTATTGCCGATTTATAAAATAAAGAAAGGATCGCTGAAGTAAAAAATAAAAATATATATATATATTGCAAATAGAATTTGTTTTATAGTGCTATAACACTATAATACTAGAGTATTGTAACCAATTAAAATTTAAGATTAGATGTAATATGCAGATTATCCTTTGTATAACAAAAATAAATTAGTTATATTTTAAAATTTTAATTAATAAAGAGGCTGGTAATTGTACTCCAAATTTGGTATTCGTATCTCTCACAAAAATCAAAAAATTTTCAAAATTTAAATGATGTTATCTCAATAACCACTTAACAAGAAATTCGATGAATTTTTTTATTTAAATTCTCAAGATCTGTAGAATTCAAATATAAAAAATTTCATCAAATTTGGTTAGGTCATTAAGATAATTTTATTCAAAGTTTAAAAAAATTTCAAACTGTCTATCAAAACATAGTAGTGTCAATTTTTCTAAAACTTTAAACGACAATATCTCGACAACCACCTGACCAAATGTGATGAAATTTTTTATTTGAATTCTAGAGATCTGTAGAATTCAAAAAAAAATTTCATTGAATTTGGTAGGGTGAGTGTTGAAATATCTTCATTCAAAGTTTTAAAAAAAAATCAAACCATCTGTCAAAACAAAGCTGCACCAAAATTTTTCTAAATCTTTGAGCAAAGATATCTTACAACCACCTAATCAAATTTGATAATCTTTTTTTTATTTAAATTCTAGAGATCTGTAGAATTCAAATAAAAAAAAATTCATTGAATTTGGTTAGACAATTGTCAAGATATCTTTGCACAAATAATTAGAAAATTTTGGTGCAGCTTTGTTTTGATAGATATTTTAATTTTTTTCTAAAACTTTAAACAAAGATATCTCAACAACCACCTAACCAAATTCGATGTAATTTTTTTTATTTGAATTCTACAGATCTCTAGAATTCAAATAAAAAAATTTCATTAAATTTAGTTAGTTGGTTATTGAGATATCATCACTCAAAGTTTTAGAAAAATTGATATTGCTATGTTTTGATAGACAGTTTAAATTTTTTTTAAACTTTGAACAAATATATCTCGACAACCACCTGACCAAATTCGATGAAAATTTTTTTATTTGAATTCTGCTAATCTTTAAAATTCAAATAAAAAAATCATTGAATTTAGTCAGGTGTTTGACAAGATATCTTTATTTAAAGTTTTAAAATTTTTTAATTTCTATAGGCGTATAAATATTAAATTTGAAAGGTATAATTACCAGTCCCTTAATAAATTATTTTGTGTTTTAATAACAAAATTTTTACAAAATTTTAGTTTAAACTATACTCTGTCTATCTTTAACTCTACTTTTAATCTAAACCTAAGTAAAATTTTTATTTTTTGTAAATACTAGATTGTTTTAATTTATATATTATACTAATTTTATATTTATATATAGGATAGCACTATAGTACTATAGTACTATAATAATATTCTTATTGTAAATAATTATTATATTAATTATTAATATTTAATTTAATAAATTTTATATATCAAATATTTTTTTATAATTCAGCAGTTCTGCCACTTTTTATTTGCAAATTAAACTATACTAAGAAATTTACTTTCCCTAATAGTAACTATACTAATCCACCTGTAAAGTGACTTACCCATACTTTTGCCAGATATGACTTGTCTTAGTGGACTTCAAGACTCTCTTCGGACCTCTAACTTACTAGAGGTTATCCTTTAGTCATAGGCTGGTGCTATACACCATATCTATATTAACTTTCCTTTTTATAAAATAAAATATAAACACAAATACAAAAGATATAACAAAATAGAAAATACTACAACATTGAGTTCTGGTCCATCTAAACCAATAAAACTAAATAAAACAAATATTGAAAAAAAAAGAAAAACAAAAAAAAAAACAAAGATAGTACTATTAAATATATGCCAGATTGTAAAAATTATATAGTATTACAAATAAATTAGACTAAACTCTATGCTAGTTATTTATGTCTATATCCAGGATGTAAAAATATTAAAAATTATCTGGTTTTGAAGTAGAGCTCCAAAGTCGAAACTTTCAGTGCTAACCCAACTAGGTCGGTAAGTCTTCTGCAGTGTTTCAAACATTATCATATTATCTGACATGATTCATTCCAAAATAGATATGTATATATGTACATAACTTTCCTTTTTTGATAGCTGTTACTATATTGATCTTTTGTTGAGAGTATGACATTTTTTCTACTTTTTGGTAAAAATTTCAAAAAATGCAAAAAATAGAGTTTGGTAGAGGGTTTCAGTTTGTGGATATCCTTAAGCTTTGGTAAAGAGTATATTAAAAAACTTACTTGTTGTTCTCCTTTAGACCAACTATTATCTAACTTCATCAACAGAAACAGTGCTTCTATTAAAATTTTTTGTATAAAGACACCACCTTCTTGCCAGTTATCTTGTACAAGAATGCTTTTAACTTGCATGCCAAATATACAGAGGAGTCTAGAGTAAGATGCAAAAGTCTTGACCTCTGTAAAAACCATTATTATATAGTTGTCTCTTCTACTTTTCTTCAACAAGTTTCTGTTTTCATTAGCCATAGGTTTGGTATGAGTAATTATTAGGAAGAGTTGACTTATATCAAATATTATAATATTATCTTTAATAAATATTATTTAAATTAATAAACTATTATAATATTTTATTATAAACTATTAAAATATTTTAATAAACTATTAAATAAATTGTTATTTATTAAATTTTTAATTAAAATATAAACATCTAAAATGTTGAATTTGAAGCAATGTCTAGGTCTGAGACTTAGTATTGTGAACATTTTTGCAAAATTATAAGTTATCTAAAGGTGTTTACTATAATATATATCACTACTGCATAAATCTGTATGAGTTATTGGATGTTGCTTAACTTAATACTGTAATAGATTGGTTAAAATCAAAGCTTTTAAATTTTCTGATAAATTTTGGTAAGAATAGTGCTTTCTAAAGCAAGTTATTTATTTACTCTATATTTGCAAAATTGTAATTTGAAAAACTTAAGACTACATCATTATAAAGTGTCGGGATGATGCTGAAATTTGGGGTCTTAATTTGCAAATAAAAACCCTACCAAAATCCACCTATACTCATTTATTATAAACACTAACTCTAAATTCTAATCGAATTATAAAAAAAAAGCTTAAAAAAACACCCCCCAAAAAATTTTCATAATAAAATAAGTCAAAAATTCAGCATCATTCGATTTTAGCATCATCCCCGACATAAAATACATATTAAAATTTCAAATTTAATAATAGATTATTGTTGAAATATAAATATTACAATGATTTACTATTATATAAGGTAAAAAAAAAGCAAATTTTGCATTTAACTTATTGTTCGGTAGAAAGTGTTGGTTTTTTAACAATAGGGCAGAATAAGGAAATTTATTAAAAGAACTATGAATTGATCGAATTGATAAATAGTCTAATTCTATTTATACGTATAGTACAATCGGAGGACCACATATTTATGACATGTTGTCTTACCAACCATCAGCCTCACCCTCAGCCCTTTACATTTTGCTACCGTTTATGGGTTATTATCAATGCAAATATCGTACTTTCAATAAATTGTGATCGTTTGATTCCGATTGTTACTATGTAACACGTGTGATTAGCAATATACTATTTTTGAGAATGTGAGTATGCTGTTTTTCTTTTTTGGAGGCCCCATTTCTCACGTAAAACTTTCAGGAACGAATTGATGATTTGTTCAATTTGATCTGAAGAATGGTTTGTTATTTACATTAGAATTTAAGTACCTTTAAAAGAAAAAGACGAATTATTTTTAGAAATGATAAGGGGAATATTTACAGTTACAAAAAGAAAGAAATGAAATTATGCTTAGAATATGCCTAAACAGTTAATCAAAGAAATAGAGAATAGAATATTTTCTAAACGGCCAAAATAATGATGATTCAAATTTATATATGTTAAGGTCATGTAAATTTAATTAATTTAATTAATTTAATTGATTTTCATAATCCGCCGGTTAAAATATTTTATATGTTTTAATTACCGAGTGGTAAACCATGATACTAAATTTGTATGGCTTAGTATCAATAATTTTATGATAATTAAAAGTAATCGATGTTTGTTTACTGATTTCGAAATTAAGCACCTGAGGAAGATCACACTTATGAATTTGGATGCACCTATGGCGGTAGATCTTGCCGTATTTAGAAACGATTGTGTGTGATTTTAATGCATCATGCAGTTTCCTGTTTGTCATATCAATCAAGATTACGTATCATACGCGTGATGAAATAGTAGAATCAAGTAGCATTGTAAGTTGATAATTAAATGCAGCCACTCTTTTTTCTAAACATATGAGCAATTAGATAAATTTGATATAAGATAGTATGTAGTGTATTTGTAGAACTGAACATTAGAAATTTGTTAGACGAAAACCAGCTTTGAACTGCGTTTATTATTTTAATTTGTTGTCCAATTTTGATGGAAATGCTTCTCCGATTCCCGTATACTTAAAAATTTTTATATAAAGATAGCCTACCTTGCTAACAGATGTCTATTGTGCTAACGTTTTTCTTGGCCCGATTGACGAATTATGATCTCACCAAGTAGATCGGCTCCAATTCCAAATTCTAGCGCGTCCTTATATGCCATAGTGTCAACATCGACTGTAAATAATCTGACAGTCGAACTGATTCGCCAATTCGATGGGTCTTATTTCGTAAAACACATGAACAGTTACACTTTGTTCAGTGTGCCATCCGTAACAGAGGCATGCGCGATGGGAAGGGCTCCTGCCTCTTGCTTCATCCTTTTCCGATCAAAAATCCAAGGCTGCTTGGTTTCACTTAATTTAAGATTAGAACGAAGAATAGTCTCAAGACACGCAGCCAACCTCTGGAGAGGAATTTGTATCAATTATCCCCTTCTCTCGGATACGTTTAGACGAATTTATGACGCTGCACTTTATCAATTTAACTCTATGCAAATGAGGATTCGTATTATTATGCCACCTACTTCTCCGGAACAACCTCTTGAATCTGTTCCTACAATCGATGGATTTGATAACTCATTCAATGGGTTGCTAACTCAGTTATTCAATCTAAATAGTAGAGATGAAGAAAAATAAATTGCCAATTTACACATTAATAAATTTTACAATATGCCTTAACATATTTTAAGTTTTTTTTCTTTTTTTTTAATATTTTACGTATGCTAAATAAGAGTATAAATAATAAGCATAAAAAAATCAAATTATCTTTTGAATTTATTAAGTATGTATTAATATGTTTAAGAAAAAAAAGGAATTATATGATTTATATTTGTATTTGTTATAGGGCTTAGACTGTTTATTAAAAAGTTCAAATCTCAGCGCGTTAGTACATAAAATAAGGTCAAATACCAATATTGGTATTATTATATGTAATTTTTATCTATGATTATAAAATTTAATAAAATAAGATTTTTTAAGAATGTTCTGTGTAATTTAAATGTTGAACTTATACAAATTATCAGAAAAAAAAATTTTAAAGCAGGAAAAAAAGAAATTTAACTACATATATTAAGTTTATTTACTTTCTTTAATACCTATTTTTAAATCATTATATTTGAAGTTTGAATTTTTTCAAATGGAAGACTTCGTATCTTTAAACTAATGAGTAACTGTATTTCATCTAGAATTATAGCATTAAAAATTGGCCATGTCAAGAATAGTTGGTTCATAGGAAATAAAAACAAGATTTTAAAATGAAATTAATAAATATGAAGATTGTGTAAAGATCAGCTTATCGCGCTGCTAGCGCATTAAATGCTGCGCGGATCATCAGCTTAATTTCACCGTAATTAATATTGTTAAACCGATGACACGACATATTCTGGAAAGGAAATTAAACCTAAATTACACGCATGGCTATTGTGCGGTTCGTAACACTTTAAAAGTTTTGCTAAATAACGTACGTAGTACAAACTTATAGATACTTTGCAGACTGCGCATGAAAGAATTATATCTACCCTCCTTAAACTTTTGCACCTTGCGCAGGAACTTTAAATATCTCAAGAACGCACATTTACCTTGAATAGCGCACATGAATGCGCATTCATATACATGACCTCATAAATGAACAATTTGCAAATTTATCGATCTTTCTAAACAATCAAATTTGATGCGTCTAATTGTCAAAATATTTCAAATTAAGTAAGTTTATTCAAAATATATGATTGTCCAGAATAATTATACTGCATGTATCTTTGAATACATATAATCTTTTATTCAAAAAGCATATATAGGTATTATGAAATAATAAAGTTTGTTTTTGATTAAGTGTTATTTAAACGCAGCATATCAATAAAAATTTTCAAGATAACAAAGATACAAATATAAAAGATAACACCAGTATTAGATTATCCAATGATGTTGTGATAAACAAAAAAAATTGCTTTGCGGAAATAAACGATTAATCGTGCCGATAGCACCACATTATAGCCAATCATGGATTTAATTTATCTATATTGGGCGCTAATTGCTTTTAATAATTTTGATTTTTGCGCTCGCAGAAAAGCAATTAACACAACGTTTCATGTAATTATGTACGACATCGCTGAGACTTGGAATATTACTACCCTTTGCTTTTTTAGCCCATATATAGATAAGTATATATAGAAAAGGACAACAGTACTTATGCGTAAAATTTAGAATCGAACGAATCATTGTATATGATAGTAAAAACATGGTGGACAACAAGCTGACAAGGTCAAGGCGGTAAGAAATTAAGAACTCCGAATTTACTATAATCGTAAAATTACCCCTGATTAAGACAAATAGAGAAAATTAGAAACTGTTAAATTAGAGGTGCAAACTTCCTTGTCGCGGATTTATTTTAGCGATGCAAATGAAACAATTCCTTTTCAACTATAAATACCTATCATAACTACAATTACAATACATCATCACACTGCATATCTAGCTTATATATAATTGAATATGTGCGTCTGTATCAATGTACACGAGCCGAAACTTTCGCGCTCGCCCGTAATAAAACTATACTAAATTTGTTCATGTGATTAAGCATAAACGTTTGTTTACTGAAAGGATTTATCCGTGTAAATCATCACCATAAAGAAATATAAACAAATAATTATCTGTGGCTTGGCATACGGAGTACATAATAATGTGTTACAGAAAATAGGCTTTTTTTATAGATTGGCTGAGATAAGTAACTTAAAAGGACAATTATCAATGTACTTAAGCCACGGACTGATTTTTCCGATCTATAATTAATTCACCATTGTTACCTGGCCAAAAACGTTCATCACGTCAAAAGGATTGTTTCATATGCCCACTAATTTATCTCAATATTCAGAATATCAGTTTGAGATCTCCGTATAATAATTATATTGCGAGTTTACGTAATTTATGATTCGAAATATCTTTTATATAAATATAGCAATTCACAGTTTAAATGAAAAATATATATAAGCATAATATCATTTCGTAAATGTTTTTTAATACAAATAGAATTCAGATTAACCTGAAACTTTTATTTAATTGAAACCTTAAATAAATAGGTTTCTTCAGAATTCTAAATAGTAATCCAACAAATTCTAAATCTAAAATTGGTAACTTTGTTGTTTTCTTTCAATATACAGCGCATGCATTAGAGTTGCATGGAAATTAAATTAGTTAATTCGCAAAATTGTGCCAATTTTACCAAAATAGAATCCGTTCTGTAGTATAATTGTTATATATAACTTAAATTGAGATGATGAAAGTCGAAACTTAACCTCCTGAAATATGAAACTGACAAAACGCCTACGAAAGACGAAACTTCCTTGCAAAAGTAATTGCCTAGGTTATCTTTCAGAGCTCAGCCTTGTACATTTACAGTACAGTCAGACCCCCCTAAATGCACCCCCTCTAAATGCAACACCTCTCTAAATGCACGTCTTCTTTTGGGCCCAACTAATATTACATATATAGATTTTTATCTCCCTAAATACAACACCTCTCTAAATGTACATGCGAGAGCTGGTCCCGACGACGTGCATTTAGAGAGGTCTGACTGTTTTCTCAATGATACATTTAGATTTTCTGCCGCATATTCCTTTACCTTTCTTAGACTTTAAGCTAATTTTTCTTAGAATTTAAAGCAAACTTTTTTTTTATATACAATTGAAAACCTATTAGTTACACCTTCTGGAGATAAATCAATTTAAAAACTTTTTATATAACATAATCTAATTAAGAAAATATTCTTTTCAATAGAAGGGCCAAACTACCCTGGAAGTCAAAAAATAAGTTTTTGTAAAATTCAGGTAAGGCGAGACCAATTTGGTGCTGTGCTTTACATTACCCTCGCCTCCCTCTCCAGACCCTCCCCCCTCTCTTTTAATAAAAAAATTTTGAGCATATATACCTATAAATTTTTATGGTTGTTGCTATTTTTACCCCAAATTTGTTATCCATACAACCACTAAGCCACATTCGTTGAATTTGTTTTATATGAATTCTATAGACTCGTAGAATTTAAATAAGATAGGTTCATCAAATTGTCATAATGATTGTCAAGATACCTTGGATGCTGCGTAAAATTTTATTCCAACTTTGAATGGTGATATCTTGACAACCACCGGATCAATTCGATGAACCTTTTTTTCAATTTGGATTCTATGGATTTGTAGAATTCGAATCATAAAAAGATCGTCGAATTTGGCCTAGTATCGCTCAAAGTTGAAAAAAATTTTGCCGTAGCTACTATTTTGATAGATATTGAGTTTTAAATGAAGTTAACTCAACAACCACTGGGCAAAACTCAATGAATTTTTTTTTTATTTGAATTCTACAAATCCTTAGAATTTAGGAAAAAGTTCATCATTCAAAGTTGAAAGAAAATTTTGGCGTAGTTTCTATTTTGATAGACCCTTAGGGATTTTGAACTTTGTGCAAAGGTATTTTGACAAACATTGGAACAAAATTTGATGAATTTTTTCTTATTAGAATTCTACAGATCTGTAAAATCAAATAAAAAAGTTCATCAAATTTGGCTAGTGGTTGCTGAAATATCATCATTCATATTTAAAAAAAATAGAAAAATTTATTTGTGTGGAGTATAGATATATCAAATTTGGACTACAATTATGAATATACATAAACTTCTGTTGGTGACAATGAATGAACCTAAAATACAAGCGTGTTCAAGCAAAATTTAGTGAAAAAGGCTGAAAGACTTTGAAATAGAAAACAAATTGAGTTCTTAAACAATTTAGTTAAAAAAAATCAAGAATAAAATAAAATTAGTAAAAATATATTATAACAATAACTTAATTAGACATCACAACCTGCAATATGCTTATATATGGGGTCTTTGCCTTTCATTAATACAGATTTTATTTATTGAGGCGGGAAATTAGTAGAACAAACTTTTTAATATTGAACTCCGATCATATTAATCTTTATTCAAAGTGAAATGTATTTGCTTATACTTATTTTTACATAGTAATGAGATATCTAATCAAATATGAAACATATGATTTACTATGTCCTATAACTTGATTTTCAGACAAAGACTCTATATTGCATTTTAGATGATTGACCAATCAAATTTCAAAATCAGATGTAACATAGTACAATTAGAAAGATTCAAAACAAATGTTGTTTTGTTTTGACAAAAGTTACTTATAACTCTAAGTTTTATATATAAAACTATCTTTTGCACTTTAACAAAAAAATTTCTTACAAAATTTTACTATAAATACCCAATTATATTGTACCCTAACTCTATCTAACTCTAATTAAACAATAAATCCTGGTTTAT